GGAAGTCTGGAATTTCACTTATTCACCTTGTATAGCTTGAAAACCTTGTATAGCTTTTTCAAATTCCCTTGTGAAAACCTGCTTGCCCCAAGACCTTGCTACTGACCTCCAGACGCCATTTGGCAAATCATTTCAGGGAAGCATGGAAATATCTGGGAGACACACCGAGGATTGCTTCAGCATAAATTGTTTCCAAAATCATTCTCTGACTGCTTGAACCACAACTCAAAGGCGAGTCTGCAAGTTGCCCAGGAATACGTAGGAACTCCCATCCAGGCCATTGAACGGAACCTTTTCACTTGTTGAGATAAACTTTTTTCTTTTTCTATTAAGGAGCATTAGCAGCCACTGATGATGGGAGCCAGAGCCCACCCGATACAGGCCAGAGGAAATGTCCTGACTCACTCGCACAGCACCAGCTCGTCAGCCCTGAAGATGTATGAAGTCTGACTGCAGAGACATGCGAGCGATTCGGCTTCTCCACACAGCAGAGCTCTGACATCCAAGGAGCGCCGTCCCCTTGGGGGAACCCGCCTGCTTACTCTAGTGGATTGCGGCAGGAGCACTTTTGGATTTCCTGTCTGGGGAGACTATTCTTTTGAACATCCTTACTGGTGACAGTTTGTCGTCTGAGGATACATGTGACTTTTGGAACGGGCACAGTGTATTCACAGTCTACACCTGTTGCTTGTCTACCCAGAAATCCTTCTCCAAACTACTGGTTAGAGAAACTGTGTTTCTTCTTTTGTTTGTTCTGTCTCTGGCGGCACTCAAGGAGGAAATAGGTTTTAAAATATTTGGGAATTGGCCCTTTTGTGCCTGGTAACTGAGCCCATATTTTGCTTGGGTGACTCCTCCTCTCCCACTTGGTCTTAAGTTGTGTGAGTGGGCTGACTTGACCACCAGTCACAGAGGGGCCGACAAGTGACTTAGGCCTGGCTGCAGCCATTGACTGGGGATGGACGCATGACCCCATGACCCAAGTACCATGATGGCCCTGGGTTCTGGAACTTGGATTGGAAAGAGAATTTCTCAGTCTGCTGAGACAAGCGTGGTGCTGAAGGCCACTCTTCTGCTACTCCAAGGAGCGAGCCTGTCTGAAAATGGAGCCAACACAGAAGAAAGGAGCTACAGGACATGAGCAGGGACACACATCATGCACCTCACGGGAGAGCCCAAGTCCTGATCTGTGCTCCTGGACCCAGAGGGACTTGAGCCAGAAAACGCCCTGGAACTCCTTTGCATCATCAGCCAGTAACTCCTTTTGGTCAGAAGATTTATTTGGTCTTAAATGAACTCATTTCACATATTTGTGGAAAAGCGGTATGAAAAGATAAGTTTATTTCAGTGCAAACAAATGGAAAATCTTGTATAGTTTTTCAAACTATGCATTTTCTATGAACTTCTTGAGGACCTCTCATATCTTGCAGATCAGTGAGTCTTGCCTAATCCAGTAGAACATAGCCAGACTGGTGGAAGAATGAACTCATCAGTCAGCGAGTAAAGAAGTTGCCAAGACACTTCGGACAGATTTCCACTCAGGAGACATCCACTGAGCGCCCGAGACCAGCTGGTCAGCCCAGGATACTGGGGTGCTTTCGGCCTGTTTTTCTCCCTTTGCTCACACAGACACTGGTCAAGATGGCACTCTTGAGCATAGTCAGAACGTGTTATTAATTTCCCAAAGTGTCTTATTTTGAGGGTGACAACACATATTTGAGATCACGTATCTTTTAAAAACATTTTAAAGTTTCTTATTGTAGAGAGAGAGTGTGTGTGCTCCCATCTGCTGGTTCATTCCCCTGCTGCCTACAAGGGTACAGACTGGGCCGAGGCAAAGCCAGGATGCAAGAACTCAATCCAGGTCTCCCACTTGAGTGGCAGGAACTCGGTTACTTCAAGTATCACCCGTTGCCTCCCCAGGTGTGCATTAGCAGGAAGCTGGACTCAGAGACGGGAGTTAGATATCAAATCCAGGTACTGGGATATGGGACAAAGATGTCTTAACTGGCAGCCCGGACACCTGCCCTGTGGCTATGTTTTCAAGGATAGAGTTCTATTTTCCCTCGGTAGTCATATCTCCTGTGCAACATGAGAATGCAGGGATTTCTATGGAACAGGAAGAGGACAGGATGGTTAGCACTTAATCCAGGTGGTTATTTCAGAGTTGGGAGGGATTCCTGAGCATGGGAGACCCGCCACTGCAGGAGGTGGGACAAAGAATAGTGATGCTGTCACCAGTGCTGGATCTGGCTTCCTCCACGGCATTGCTACTGCGTGAAGAGGGTGCCCCTCGTGTCGGCTCTTTGGCTCAATTCTAAGGATGAGAAGTCCCAAATAATTGAATGTGGTTTTGCTTTGAAATGAGTCAGGTGGGATTTCCTTGGTTGTAAGGGATATTCTCATCTCCCTCACAGGACTCATGCTCTCCCCTTCTGTGTCTCTGCCTCCCTCTACACCAACCAACTTCTCTTTCTGTCGAACAGTTTCTTTGCTCACTCATGGTTCCTGTTTCCTTATTGCATCAACCTGCAGAGGCCACAGCTCTCATGAATGAAACCCTCCCAAGCTGAGCTCCCAACTCGCACTGGCATCTGCCTTCCATGTTTCCTCATTCACATTCCCACCGTGGACAGACCAAGTCCAGTTCTGAGCCAGAGCACTCAGCATCCCGGGCTGGCTGGCAAGATAGCTACCTCTGATCAGGATGGGGCAATGTCATGTGGCACCAAATGAGAAAGCAGAAAACCTCAGGGCTGGGAGAGGGGGGTCAGGTTCCCAGGCCCCCTGTCCAGTACAGTCTTGCCTCATGGAAACTGACTCAGCCCAGAAGCTTAGTGGCCGCCATTTTTAGGTTACCCCAGTGATCTTGTATCTAACGGTACCGATTCATTGAAATGTTCAACAGGTTTGCAGGAAAGGCAGGAAACAGTCAGCTCTTCTTCAGCAAGTCTGCAATTAAAAGGAACCCTGATCAGAAGAGGCAGCAGGTGATGGTAGTGAGAGGGGAACAACGAGAAAGGGAATTTCTGAAGAACCAGTCTACGTGCAGGCAGGTGCTTCAGTTCTGCACCCAAATCCACAGCTGCCCTTGTTCTGCCTGCCGCTGCACAGCCTAGTCCTATTAGGCCCCGTACAGAGCAGTATTTTAGGTGTCCCATGGCTTACTGGTTGGGTCTGAGAAACTGACCACCCAATTGACTTTGCCCAGGATTGAACTGATTTACAAATGGACTTGAGGAACACAGTTGCTTCTGAAATTGTGAACCGCCTTCTGGTAGACAGCAACCTGGGAACCCATAATCACTGGAGACTCAACAGCTCTCAGAAAGAAGCTGTTTTCCTTTCTCACCACCTACTTTGCTCCAATGAGGAAAGTGTTACCAGGCTTAGTTAAGTTTAAAGATTTAACTGTCACCGTGACAAAACTGTCAGTTTCCAGTGAAAGGGTTAAGACTTAGGCCAAATGTCTGGGCCACCGTGTGAAAGAGTGGGAGCTGCTTCTGGAGAGAGAAAAGGCATCCATACCTCCTTGTCCCCCTGTCGCTGTCTAGCCTCTAAGCGTGGGAACGAGGCGACTTTTCTCTCCTTCCTTCATTCCTTCCTGCCCACTCCCTAGGCTAGGGTTGTGATGCTTGGGAAAGGATGTGTTAAGAAGCCTCAGCCCACTCCTCAACTGAAGGGTGACCAGGATCACCCTGTGAAGTGGTTAACATTCAGACCCTCTCCTAGAGTATGGCTACCAGGTCTAGGGTGCAGCCAAGGGAGTTATTCCTTTATTCTTATTTGCAGAATGAAACAAAGAGATTTGGTACACACTGATTCACTCCCCCAAATGACCATAATGACTGGGGCTGGGCCGGTCCAAAGCCAGTAGCCCAGAACTCCATCCGTGTTTCCCACATGGATGGCAGGGCCCCAAGTACTAGGGCCATCTTGCACTGCTTTCCCAGGCACATTAGCAGGGAGCTGGATGGGAAGCAGGACAGTGGGGACTTGAACCGGAATTCCAATATGGGATGCTAGCTTTGCAGGCAGCAGCTTAACCCACTGTGCCAACGCAGCCCCAGAAGATGGATTTTCATACAAGGCCCCCAGATGATTGTGGTAAAGATAGTGTGTGTGTTATATTTAAGAAAGAGAGCTTGGGCGCTGGGACAGAATCTGCCCCTCCTGCTCAGATGAGGGGTGAATGTGTGTGGTGTGTGTATGTGTGTGTGTGTGTGTGTGCCTGCTCTATCCTTGCTTTAGTTCTGGGTTTCAGGGGAGACCTCTTGCCCAGGTAGAATAATTTACTCCTACCCAGCTCAGAACAGCTACACATTTGAGTCTGGGGCCAAGGTCAAGTAGAGTAATACTTCTGAGCCAGTGCCTCCTGGGTCACTCGCTGGTTCTCAAGCTTGTCAGATCTTGTAAGAACTACCCGGGGAGATATTAAAACACGGAAGAGTGGGTTCTACTCCCAGAAGTTCTTATTTCACCAGGCTGGGAACAATCTGGACATTTAGAATTTTTAAAAGCTCCTTGGGCATTTCTAAGGTGTGACCAAAATTGAGACTCATTGGGATAGGGGAAGGGATTTTCATTTTCTTGGACCCCTGGTTAAAAACATGTAATATTAACTCTTTAGGGTGGGTACCATGGAAGGAACCTTATATTGCATTTCTACAGGCAAAACTAACACACAAACAGAAACAAGAAGAAATAAATGCCTTGACTAGTATTTACCTATGACCATAGTCAGTGATGATGAAAATATTCTTGGTCTGGCTTCTTTTGTTCTTTGGCTAGAAAGGCATTGGCATTGTCTGCTGCCTCCCCCACCGCCACTGTTTTTCTTGAGATGTGGGCAGTCAGATTCATACTTACTAAAGGCGGTGCATTTCGGCAATATCTAATGTCTAGATTCTTCTTATTTTCTACAAATCAGTGATATGAATTCAACAGCAAAAATATGAGTGAACTATGGTTTTTGAACAAATGAAAAACTGAGTTCTGAATGTGAGAGGAACAATGGCTTTATTAAGTCTGGAATATTCTGATGGACTCATCCAAGTTTAGCGAACAATTTTCTCTAAGCTGTTTTTTCATAACAAAATGGTATATTTTGGATTTTGTGAAAATTAAGACAGCTCTTGGCAAATTCAGTGCAATGCTGTGACTCGGGATGATGATATTTTTCTTAGGAATACATAATTATAGTGGTTTAGCTCTCAGGAATATTAGCCTGAATTTTATTTAATTTGGGTTACTGGACTAAATTCAAATAATCCTTCTCATGTTATACCTGTGAAAATCCCCATGAGCTTTTAAACTGGACATTGCTGTCTTTCTTAAATCTAAATGAGCAGGAATTATCTGATTGTTCCCCACCAGTTGATTGACTAACAGAGATGGTTAAGTAGAGATGACAGTATCTTTCCCTTCCTTTAAGAAGATTCCAGTGCATTAAACTTATTGATATACACTGGAGTTCTTCAATGTTTACATTCTCGAACAACAAAATCAACTAAAGGTTCCTTCTCATGTCTGGGAAATGAGTAAAATGCAAGCATTTTTGTTAGATGCTAATGATTTCTCAAAATGTATTAACCTTTAAATTTGCTAATTGAAAACAAACATGATTGATTATAAGACTATAAAAACTGGATATTTATCCCCACATATGGAAAAATGTTGGTCTTAAAATTATTACAATGGCATTGTAAGCCACATTAAATTTATCTAACATTTCCATATTGTTACCTCTTTAAGAACTTTGATAGTAGGATGTTCAGATAAAATCCCCACTGTAGCTTTGGATTATTCTTAGTAGAGCATAAGCTATCACTTAATTTACAAAGCTTAAGAAGGCTCTGGCTCTCATATATATATTTTAAAAACAATCCCTATTGTTTATTTAATAGCAAGTAATTGTAAAAGTTCCTATCATGCTACTTAACCCTAGTCCTGGCTGCTGCTTTTTGGGGGTTGCTATCCTGGCCCATTCTTCGAAACACTCTATATAATCTAGCAAGGCACATGTCGCCAGGCGTTAGATGGAAACCAGGCTTGCAAACTGTTTTTCACATTTTTCTGTCTGCATCCTTCCAACCTGAGGTGGAGATATTGGGAGTGTGATGGAAGAAAATGCATTGAGTGGGATGTTGGGCCTGGTAAGAGACCAGCCACTGTCCTGTTCTGTGGGAAGGGGTGGGGAGGATTTGTCTATCTGCAGGTAGTAGCTATCTAGGCCGATGCCTCTGAGGCCCTCCAACGAGCTGCCTGATGTTAGGGTCTGGCCTCTGGCCCCCTTGTGGGCCCCTGGGACCTGGCCCAGTTAGTGATAGCCACACAAGGCCGTGAGGCTCAGCTGGTCGTCACTGGGCGAGGACGTGTCAGGGTCGCTGTAGGTCTGAGTCAGGGCTAAGCTCAGGATTTCTTTCTTTTCTTTGTAAAACCGCAGCTCTTGTCCGGCTTTCCTGGCTTCCTCCAGCTGCCTCAGGGCTATTCGCAGCTCCTGGGAGAGAACTCCTGGTGACTCCCGCTCCTTCATGATCCAGTCCAGGGCCATGTGGCTGCGCATCTTTTCATCCAGGGAATACTGGGAATAGTAGGAGATGACTTCCTGGGAGAAACAGAGTCCACCATGTGGGTTAAGAGCAACAAATGCACAGCGAATGCGGCCTCCCACGCTGCCCCCTGCCCAGCACCTGGTGGGGCTTACCAGCAACCCGGCCTCGCTGATGCTCTCAAGTGAAATCTTACGACAGGAGCAGGTGTTGTGGCACAGTGGGTTAAACCGCTGCTTGTGATGCCCACATCCCATATCAGAGTGCCTGGGTCAAGTCCAGGTTGCTCTGATTCTGATTCAGCTCCCAGCTAGTGTGCCTGGGAGGCAGTGGATGATGGCTCAAGTACCTGAGTCCCTGCCACTCACATAGGAGACCCACAAGGAGTTCCTGGCTCCTGGCTTCATCCTGGTTCAGCCCTGGCTATTGTGGCCTTTGTGGAAGTGAATAAGCAGATGGAATCCGGCCCCCTCCTTTCTGTGTCATTCTGCCTTTAAAACAAATAAATCTTTGAAACGAGAGAGAGAGAGAGAGGGAGACAGAGAAACCCTATGATACGCTTCTTCAAAGGAAATGAAGGGCTAAGCTAGTTGCACAGAGCAGCTCACTGCAGGCCGAGCGAGAAGGTGCCATCAGGAGGGACTCCGCAATGCCTCCACGACAAAGCTCTGACACTGCTATGGAGAGGACCTCATTGATTCATGGTGCCCATCCACCAGCATCTCCTTTGGCCACACGGAACGAGCAGGAAACAGCGATGCAGAGGGATTTGGGCAGGATGGGATTTGGTCTCATCCACCACAGAAAACAGGGGTTCTGAACTAGGCTTAGAGCCAGGACAGCCAACCTCCCAACTTGCACAAGCAAGATGACAGTCCAAGGAGCTCACGGCAACTATAGACAGAGTTCTACAGATGCACTGTGGAGTGTAGACGTTATCATTATTGGGATCGTACTGATAACTTCATGCTACACTATCTTCTACTTTCAGAAAAAATTAAAAGTTAGTGTCTACCTGTCAGTTCGTGCCTGAACACTTTGCCAACACATTATAACATTGTATCTATGTCCCATCATTGGATTGTCTGGAATGGATGCATTGCTTATTTTTATTTCAATAACATATGGCATTTATTTATGACCTTAACAAATTAAAAACAATCATGGAAAAGTGTTTATAACCAACTGGGCATATTTCAAAGGGCTTTTATAAAATCAAAGGAAAAGGGGTAAAAAAACAGCCAATGCCAATGTCAGTTACTCATTTCTTTTCCATCTCTGACATTTTGAAAGCCAAACTTTCTAAGCAAAGAACAACTACAAACTCCTGGAGCTGCTGCATGTGAAAAAGTCTTTCATCCACCCTTGTCTTGCTAACTGATAGACGCTTTGTTCCTCACACAAAGTGCTGATAGGAAATTTTCCGAAATAAGCCGTCTTCTTTCAATATCTAATGGGAGGTAAAGGAGGGATGGATTGTGGAGGACCACAGGTGCAAACCACTAAATACACAGCACTTGCTATTATTGAGAGGTGTGAAAGTGCTTCTCAGAAGTCAGGAAAAGAGAGTGAGCCCTTGTCTCTCAAAAAAGAAGGAAGAAAACCAAAAAGTTGGTCTAAACAACAACAAAATGGGGTGAAAGGATGCTTGCCCACCTCTGCAGTCATTTCTGTTGTCCACCAGGCTCTTTGGGTAGCAGTGGGAAACACCCTCCCGGTACAACCCACCTGCCTGTCTTCAGTGAGCAGGTTCCGGAAACAGTGTGTTCTCAAATTTCTTTTGTCCTGGCAGGTGTTAAGAGGGCAGAGACTCAAAGAAGGCAGGGCAGGTGCATGAAGCAGATAGAGGATTTTTTAAAAAGAATTATTTATTTGTTTATTTTATTTTTGGAAAGGGAGAGAGGGGGAGAGATAGAGAGAGAGAGAGATCTTCCATCTGCTGGTTCACTCCCCAGATGACTGCAACAGCCAGCAACCACAATCCCCATCCAGGTCTCCCGTGTAGGTGTCAGGAAGGTGCAGCATTTGACTTGGACCCTGATCCTGCTGTGCTGATCCCCATCCTGCCTGCCTGCCTCAGGAGTGGATCTCCCCATCAGTCCCATGCCCAGCCAGCTTCCTGGGCGTCTGTGTGGCCAGTCCCTGCCTCCACAGGACGGTTGCTCCTGCTGAACACGGCACCACAGTCCTGGCCGGCAGAGCTCACCTGTCGGGAGCACTTCGTTTCACGAAGGGCCTTCAGGCTTCCGTTCCAGTGCAGCAGCTGGAAAATGGTCATCAGCTCCTGCAAAACCCAAACATCGCCTCTCAGTGGTCCTGAAGCCGACATTCGCACGAGCAAGAGCTGAGCAGGGCAAAACTCTGACCCCAAACACGCCAGCTGAGTCAAAATCACGACGCTGCCGGAACTCCTTGGGGCTTTTCACAAACCAGAAGCCCCAGGTGTCTGGAACTTTCCACCTTTCCCCCCCTCCTGTTTTCATACTGGTATAATGAAGTAAGCAAATAATGGCTTAACATCATTCTTTCTTTGTTTAAAATTTATTTCTCTGAGAGGCAGAGACAGACAGAGGTCCTGTCTGTTGTCTACTCCTAAATGCCTGCAACAACTGGGACTGGACCAGGCCAAGCCAGGAACTAGGAACACAATCCAGATCTCCCATGTAGATGGCAGCCTATCCAATTACTTGAGCTATTGCTGCTAGGCCCAGGGTCTGCATTAGTAGGAAGCTGGACCCAGGAATCAAACCCAGACACTCCAAGTAGGATGTGGGTGTCCTAACCAGTAGGCTCAATGCCTGTTCCCTAAAAGCTGACTTTTATTCACTGTTTTTACCTCTGCTTACTCAGGAAAAAGTTTTCATTATGAAAATTAGAAGATGCATATGCTTAGATTGCAGGCATCTTAAAAGTATTTAGTAAAACTTAATGCTCTAAGATGGTGAGAAGAGCAAATAGTATTATTCTCATGTCTAAAGTTGGCATTAGAATGAAGTGTTTTTCTTTTTTTCCGTCTGAGATCTGTTTGGGATTTTGTTTCTGTTCCTCCACACAGTGAACCTCTGAGAGCCCACAGAGCTCCCAGGAAAAGCAAAACTATTTGTTTTTGTTGATTAAAATAGACACAAATATCAGCTGATTTGCTCCTTCTGCCCCAAATGGAGACCCCACTGTCCCCTTGGGGGTGGTGGGGAGAGAAGGAGGAAAAGAGAGAGGGGGAGAAAGAGAAGGAAGGAAGGAAGGAAGGAAAGTTGGTTGAGAATGTACTCCAGGAATTCTAAATGCTATGAAGTGTTGTTAAAATAAAGGGCACGTGTACAACGGTGCACTCTTACCATGTTGACTATTTGATTTAAAAATGTGAAATGTGCCCAGGGAGTCCACCTTGCTCATGTCTTCTCTCCTCCTTGCTCCTGTCCAGATTTTCACTCCGTGACATCACCATGCTAATTTGGAAAAGATGGCTTTGTTCCAGAAATCAAACCTTGGCTAATCTGGCTTTCACAGCTGTGCAACCAGTCTTTCCATCAAAGCAGCCCCAGCAGCTCGGCGGGGTAAATTTGTTCTGCTTTTCCCTCTGTTACCCCAAACCTCTCACTAAATGCCAAATACTTTATGTTCCAACAAAGAACAGGACCTGTGATGTAACAGGATGGCCAATATTTGCAAATAAGAAATTTCTTTTGGGTTTATGTTATGTTTTTTAAAGAATCTACTTGAATTTTGTACTCTATTGTAAAAAAAAAAAAAACACACACACACAACACACAAAGGGGCCAGTGTTGTAGCATAATAGGTAAAGCCACTGCCTGGGACCCTGACATTGCATATGGGAGCCAGTTGGTTTCCCAGCTGCTCCACTTCTGATCCAGCTAGTCCCGGTTGGGGCGCCAGATTCTGTCCCGGTTGCCCCTCTTCCAGGCCAGCTCTCTGCTGTGGCCTGGGAGTGCAGTGGAGGATGGCCCAAGTGCTTGGGCCCTGCACCCCATGGGAGACCAGGAGAAGTACCTGGCTCCTGCCATCGGATCAGCGCAGTGCGCCAGCCGCAGTGCGCCAGCCGTGGCAGCCATTGGAGGGTGAACCAACGGCAAAGGAAGACCTTTCTCTCTGTCTCTCTCTCTCACTGTCCACTCTGCCTGTAAAAAAAAAAAAAAAAAAAAAAAAAAAAAAAAGAAAGTGGTTGCCTGAAACATGAACTCTTCTTCCTCCATCATCTTGCTGGCTCTCATTCTTACTCACACGCTAAGTCTCCCTCCCCCAAAAAACTGCTGTCATTCCACCCGGCAATTAATCCTCATTCCCTCTGAGAATCCTGGGTTCCACTGCGAACAGAACCAGAAGCCATTCTCATGCCCCTTGATCACCTCCCTCTTTGGAAAAATGTCCCCAGATACACTTGAACTGTTGTTGCCTCCAGGAGGGGCTCATCCCTGGTTGGTCTAAGCTTCTGTCCCATTAGCAAGCGGTTTTGCACTAACACAACTCACTGCTGCTTCTCCTGCTCCGAAAGTCCCCTGGGGAGCAGGGGCTCCTTCCCACAGTCTGGCATTACGACCTAGCCAGTTTCCGTCCTCGGTAGCACAGTAGCTGCACCCTCATTTTACAAAGTATAGCCCGGTATTTCCACACACTTCCTGTGCCACTTCTTTATCTCCCTTCCTAAGACGGAATCATTATCTTCAAATCCTCCTGCTGTAACTGCTGCAATGTAAGGGCAGCACCCAGCCTCTTGCCTGTCTCCCTAGCCCAGGGTGCCCTTGCCTGTCCTTTATCAAAAGGAACTCACTGAATTGAGAGAGTCGTACGGCTGGCCTAACAAGGTTCTAATCACTGGACTCCAGGAGTCATTTCCTTCCCCAGCTGAAAAGCACACTGACGGCCAGCGTTGTCCTAGGTGGTTTGTGTAGGGGAATTCCAGGTCTGGGCAGAATGTCACTGCCACCTGCACAACCCCTGGACCAACTGGAGCCCACACGGTCACCATAAATTCCCTAGGGAGCGCAGCATCACTGACCCAATCAGAGGAAGGTCACAGGCACCACTGACCAACCAGGAACTTGGGCATGAGCTGATGACGCACCTCTCAGCCCAATTTCAATCTATAGGAACTGTGCCCCTAAGTCCTCAGGGAGCCCTGGAATTCAGCACTAGCTGCCTGGCTCCTTGCTCTGCACTTTGCAATAAACCCCCGCTTTCTTCCACCACCCTGATGTCAGAGATTGGCTTTCTGTGCATAGCGGAAGCAGACGGGGTTTGGGGGTTCTATAGAGCAGCTCCTCCAACTAGTTTGTAAGGGACGGCTGTCTGAGCTGTGGGCGCAGCCTGGGAAATCCCTGCACTGTTGCTACTGGCAGGGAGAGGCTTTGTGGACCCCTGTGAGGAACAGCGTCCTGGGGTCACCACGCTGCATTTTCCTCCCTCTCATTCTCTAGCAGAGAAACCCTGGGGAGGCTGGCTTCCTGAGTGAGGTGGCAGACGCAGGATTTAGGATGCGTGAGTGAAGTCACGCGTGTTCAGAGACTTTGATTTCATGGTTTGCATTAATTTTGAGTATTTAAAATATTATATTGAGATGACTGCTTGTCCTAGCAGTTCAGATGCTTGCATTCCACATCAGAGTGCCTGGGTTCAGTTTCTATTTCTGCCGTCTAGTTCCACTTTCCTGCAGATGCAGGCCCTGGGAGGCAGCAGGTGATGGCCCAAGTACTTGGGTCTCTGCCACCCACACAGGAAACTTGGATTGAGTTCCAGGCTCCCAGCTTCAGGCTGGCCCATCCCCACCATGGTGGGCATCTGGAGAGTGAACCAACAGACGGGAGTGTTCTCTCTCTCTTTCTTCCCTTCTCCCTCTTTCTCTGCCTCTCAAATAAGAATAAGATAAAATAAAATAAAAGGTTGCATATAATATTATTTATCTTGATTGCTGAGGTTATTCAATTTTATGCCTGTGACAAATGTCTCACTGGCCTAAGCCTAGTGTGGGCCCTTCTCCTGGGTTCACCTCAGGGACAAGCCTGCCTTTAAGGGTATGAGGCTCGGGCAGTCACCCAGGGCTCAGAACTTGACTTAATGCCCTGCTGTCTTGAAATTCTTAATACTTTTTGAAGAAGCGTCTTTGCATTTCCACAATGCACTCAGCTCTGCAAATTAATGTAGCTGAACTTGATCAGCAAAAGCATTTTATTTATTCATTCATTTTAGATTTATTTATTTATTTTAAAGTTGTAGAAAAGAGGGAGAGAGAGAATTTCCAACCACTGATTCACTCCCCAGACAGCCACAACAACCAGAGCTGGGCCAGGCTGATGACAGGAGCCAGGATCTTCCTCCAGGTCTCCCAGTTCGGTGGCAGTGGCCCCAGCACCTGGGCCATCTTCCGCTGCTTTTCCCAGGCCATCAGCAGGGAGCTGGATGGGAAGTGGAACAGCTGGGACACGAACCTGCACCTATATGGGTTGCTGGCGTTGCAGGCAGTGGTTCAACCCCACTACACCACAATGCCAGCCCCAGCAAAAACAGTTTAAAATTGAACCTGGGTCCAGCATTGTGGTTTAACCCACTGCCTAGTATGCCGGCATCCCATTGAACACTGCAGTTGAAGTCTCGCCTACTCAGTTCAGATCCAGCTCCCTGCTAATGCTCCTGGGGAGGCAGTGAAAAATGGCCCAAGTCCTCGGGTCCCTGACACCCCCAGGGAGACTTGCATGGAGCTCCTGACTCCTGGCTTCCTTAGACCTGGCCCGGCCCAAGCTGTTGTGACCATTTGGGGAGTGGATGGCAAATCTCTCTCTCACCTCCTCCCTTGCTATTGCTCTGCCTTTCAAAAATAATAAATCTTAAAAAAAAAAAAAAAAAGGAGGAGGAGGAAGAAAAACAGATTCGAAGGAGAATCGAGCTGTGCATTTTCTTTCCTCTTCGAGGAAGACTACAGTTGCAACTCTCTGCCTACAGCTCTCCTGGTTCCTTCTGCCATTCATTCCATTTAAAGGGACAACAACTGGGCCCTGTCCTCACGGCCTGCTGGGGTTGCCTCCTGCTAGAAGCAGTGTTTGACTTCCCGGCTACTTTGTGGGAAGAAAATGCTCCCGCTGCGCTCTGGGACTCTGTCTGGGAGACTGGCTTGGTTCTGTGATTCATCAGATATAAGAAAAACAAACACTGTAAATGGAGAACTTGAAAAACAGGTGGGCACCATCTCCCCACCCAAGAGAATGGATTTAAGAGGAAATTTGTTTATGGGATGAGGTTTTAAAAGGCGACCTGGAGAATTTAGCAAAGATGTAAATAAACAACCCTGCCTTGGATTGCATTAGGCTTCAGAATAAATATATTAACCAGCTTCAGTCAAAGTCGGCCTAGAACCTGACCTTGACGAGACCCAGGGACGAGGGCTGCTCACAGCCCTCCCCTGAGACGCAGGCACCCGGCATCCCTCCCACGAAGTGAAGGTAAGCAGAGGCTGATCACGTTTCCTCCCCAGGGCAGTCGGGAGACACCAGCCTTGCTTTTATACGGTGTGGCCGTGCACAGCCAGAGGCACACACACATCTATCACCCAACCCGGGGTACTGCACCACTGTGTCGGCTGCAGGCACAGCCTGGCCTGTGGTCAGTTCCCACGGTGTGCATGCACAGGCCGACTCCTGGAACCCAGGCCACTGAGCGGTGTGCCTGGGTCCCAACAGGCGACCCAGCCCCCCAGCAGAAGGAAGAGGGATGTTTTTAGTGGACCCTCCTGGGTAGCCAGTATCCCTGTTCAGAGGAGGTGGCTGGAACTCCCTGCCCTCACGTTGTCCCTGTCCGGGACTCAGGCTCCAGTATGACAATGTGGGAAGCAACACTACAGCAGGATTCAAATGATTGCTTCACGTATTAAATGTCTCCCCTCACAGACCACACAGGAAACACAGTGCACAGCAAGGCCAGTGAAGTATTACTAAAGCGAGGTGAGTAGAGCCTTGCATAGCACTTGGAAGGAATACTGGGAATTTTTTTTTTATCTTGCCTCGCACACCTTTGGCAGACTAACTAACCCAGCCCCATTCAAAACCATTCTTGATTTTTCTGAAGATAGCTACTGAATGGCATATAAGCTACTGTGTAGGGGGGTAGGCAATGTTAATTTTATGAGGAGAAAAGTACGATATTCTTTAGATGGGATGGGGAGGGAGGAATGAAATAACTTTCCTCTTTCCAGCAAGCATGACGCTTTATAATTGTCATGTTATGGGGCCGTGCTGTGGCTTAGCGGGTTAAGCAGACATCTGGGCGCCAGTTTGAGGTCCAGCTGCTCCACTTCCGATCCAGCTCTCTGCTATGGCCTGGGAAAGCAGCAGGAGATGGGCAAAGTACTTGGGCCCCTGCACCCACGTGAGAGACCCGGATGAAACTACTGGCTCCTGGCTTTGGCCTGGCTCAGCCCTGGCCTTTGCGGGATGGAACTTCTCTCTCCCTCTGCCTCTGCCTCTCCCTCTCTGTAACTCTGCCCTTCAAATAAATAAATAAATCCTTTTTTTAAAAAATGAAAGAATCATATTTTTTAATTCTACAAAATGGGCACTGTTATTCCAATTTTATAAGTGAGAAAATAGAATCTCAGAATGGGCAAGCTCTCTGGTGGCAGATGGTACAGTGGGCTTCACACACGTTCTTGAGTTTTTAAAAGTTTATGTTCTTCCCCCATGCCACACTCCCCTCTTCTACTTTTTTCTCTGTGTGAGTTTAGATAGTTATGGGAAAAAAAGGGAGGGAGACATTCTCAGCACCAGCCTTTTACTCTGGGGCAGAGCCCTGAGCTGTTTTGTGCAGGGTAACTAAGCTGTCCACACAGCAAGTTCAGGGTAGAGACAGCTGTCAGGGAAGCCAGCCAGAGGCCTCTGGCATTTCAAGTAACATCATCCCTCAGCAACAGGAGGGGATTTCAAGTCACTCATGGAAAAATGGAGTTAAAGATACGTTTATTTGGGTGTAAAAATTTGAGGGGTAGGCACTTGGCACAGTAGTTAAAGCCACTGCTTGGTTGCCCATATTCCATCCCAGGGTGCTTGGATGAGGGGTGGGGTACTGAAGAGACACCCTGATTTAAAATGATGGATGGGAAGGTGGTGGCCACCTGAGAAATGGCTGGCTGACTGGTCAGGAAGCGTCAGGAAGGGACAGAGGGAATGTTTGCAAGTTGGTGGCCTGAGGCCTCAGCTGCAACACTACCAGAAGTCACGCTGCAAGGAACATTTTTGTTCATGAAATTGCTTCTTGGAATCAAACCATATAGTCTACGATTTTTTTTTTTTTTTTGACAGGCAGTGTGGACAGTGAGAGAGAGAGAGACAGAGAGAAAGGTCTTCCTTTGCCGTTGGTTCACCCTCCAATGGCCGCTGTGGCCAGCGCGCTGCGGCCGGTGCACCGCGCTGATCCGATGGCAGGAGCCAGGTACTTATCCTGTGCTCCTATGCACCTATGGGGTGCAGGACCCAAGTACTTGGGCCATCCTCCACTGCACTCCTGGGTCATAGCAGAGAGCTGGCCTGGAAGAGGGGCAACCGGGACAGAATCTGGTGCCCCGACCGGGACTAGAACCTGGTGTGCGGGCGCCGCTAGGCGGAGGATTAACCTAGTGAGCCGCGGCGCCGGCCTAGTCTATGATTACTTCTTGCAATCTGATGTAACAAAATAGAATTTGGGGTGTAAAGACTCTTTGTTATTTTATGCATTGATTCCTACCAGCCTCGTATGAGTTTGTTGTAAACACTGTTTACTATCCCTAACCTAATGAACATCACAGGTTAGCCTGGTTTACCTTACACTTGGGCGAGAAACTTGCATTAGCTATGAGCAGGCAAAATGGTCTAATACAGAGTCTGTTTTATAACAATGAGTTGAATATCTCATGCAATTTACTGAACATGATACTGGAAGTGACAACAGAACAACTGCGTAGCTACACTTCTGCATCATTGTGGACTCAAAACTGTCCGTTGAACCACTGTTAAGTCAGGAGATGCCAGAAGCTTCTTGGCTCTAACGCTGCTTGTCAGCCGTGGAGGAAAGAGGACGATTCGCCGCTCAACTGTCTTATTTGGTTGATGAAGGGGTGGCAGGTCTTGTTGAATAGAGATACCTGAACTGAGGGGGTTATTGTTCAATGTGCACTTACGTAAGCACCTTCATCTATGATTTCTGTGAATTAGGAATCTGAAGGCTAAACTGTTTGGCCTGCGGTGCTCCTCCCCTGTTCGTTAGACGTAAGTCTTGCTTCCCTTCACGAAAGCAAAGATTGTGCCTCGTTTGCTTGTTAGTGCTTGCCTACCGAGTTGTGGTGAAGGATGGACTACCGTGCTGTGTTCCAGGCAGGTTAGTGTTTTGAACCCTAATTACTGTTACAGGAGATAGTGGTGAGGAGAGCTGTAGTCCCCCCAGGTCCCTAGGTTGGGTCATCCAGTACTGGTGTGGCCGGAAGTCCGGCAGTACCTGAAACTCCAGCATGGTCTTCCCCATGTTTGACTCCAGCATGTAGTGATAGGCTCCGATACTCGTGCCAGGATCGTCCGCGTCATCTAAAGTGCCCTGGGGGCGGAAAGCAGAAAAGAAAACATCATTGCTTTTTCCTCCCTTTCTCCCTGCAGGCACAAATTAATCCCAAGGCCACACAGTAAGCCTATTGTGGGCCCAGCCGGGGGTGGAGCACCTTTTTTTCTGCCAAGGGCTGTTTGGATATTTATAACATCATTTGCAGGCCTTACAAAATTACTAACTTAAAAATTAGCTAGGTATAGATTTATCAAATGTCGAGTCCTGCCTGTGGTTGCCTTGGCAGGGCCAGACCTGATGATTTTACGGGACTTAGACCGCCTGTGGGAGGCTCCCCAGACCTACATCAGCGACCGCTGCACACCAAGCAGATAGACTCCCAAATCTCACCAGAGTAAAGAGGGCTCTGCAATCAATTTCAGTCTTTTGATTGGAGCACTAGCTGAGAAGCTGGCACATGACACAGTAGGTTAAGTTGCCACCTGTGACACTCTTATGAGCAGCACTCCATTTGAGCGGCGGTTCAAGTCCTGGCTACTCCTCTTCCTATCCAGGTCCCTGCTAATGCACTTGGGAAAGCAGCAGAAGATGGCTCAATTGCTTGGACCCCTGACACCCACTTGGGAGATCCTGATGGAGTTCCAGGCTCTTGGCTTTGGTCTGACCCAGCCCTGGCCTTTGTGGTCATTTGGGGAGTCAACCAGCAGATGGAAGATCTCTGTCTCTCCCTCTCTCTGTCTTGGCCTCTTTCTCTGTAACTCTGCCTTTCAAATAAGTAAAATCTTGAAAAAACAAGACTATTAGCTTATTATATGCTTGCTGATAAAATAATTACCCTGAAGTAGAAGTCCTTGTAGCAGTGCACAGACACTTTTTGTTGGTGATGACTGTGAGGCCCGTGTGATTGCCCGCAAGGCCACCTTCTTTGTTGTCCGTTGACATCTCGGGATACTGACCTTGCTCCAATTCCAATAATCACCAAGCGAGATTGTGAAACTCACACAGAAAGAATTCGCCAGTTGTGCGAACCATTCATATTTTATTGCCAGGATTCTTAATGGGAGCTTTTCATAACACATGGGTGTTCAGGCTGGAGTCACGGATCTTGGTTTTTATTTTTTCATTCCCAGACCACTTACTCTTTAGGAAACAAGGTGGGTGGGTGATGGGGAGAAATGAGCTTGCCCCTCAACGTGGTTGTGCGGAGTGAGGCTGGGCCGCTGAGGCCCTGGAATGGCGTTCGTGCCTACCCTTCGAGATCCCACGGCCTGGGCTTCCTGGGAAGGTGGGCAAAGGTGACTGTGTGAGACTGAACAAGCAACTGCCTGCATCAGATAGCAGCAAATTTATAGCTTTTGAATGCAATCACATTAACGCACTGCTGCTGAAATATTTATGTTGGCTTTTTAAATATCTCAGAGGAATGCCATCCAGAAGCCTGTGGGCCATATTTATTCTCTTTCCTTAGAAATTTCCATGAAAAATGATAAATTACATTTACACGGAGGGCCCCTCCCCGCTCCTGAGTAAATTCCACACTTACATAAATCAGGCGTCATTTTCCTAACTTCTCTTCCTCAAAGGCACTTGAAATTTACAGGGCCGGAAAATAAAGGCTTCCTTTCATCCTCAGAGCAGATCCAGAGCAGGGCTCCCGGCTCTCTCCCTGCCCAGTCAATCACTCTGCCTCGCCTGCTGCTTCCCCAGCTCTCCTCTGAATGATACAAGCATTTACGAGGGAAAAGGGCCACTGGGAGTCTGAGACTGTCTCCTCCTTATCAGCAGAATGACAGAACGACTCTGGCCAGGTTCAGGGAACAGAAAAGGTTTCTTAGAGAAGCGATGTCCGCATCACCAGCAAGCCAGAGGCGGCCAAGCCTTTTGGTAAAGCCCAGTTCTCACACTGAGTGCACAAAGGGACGCACTGCCGCAGACCGGGACCTAGGTTTCCGCCATGACTTGTACTCAGAGGGAATGGGATTGCAGTTGCAAAGTATTCATGGGACAAAGAATCTAGTCCCGGTTTGCAGTCAAAACATCTCACTTAAATTTCTAAGACAGTGTTCTTTGTTCTTAAAGCACTTTGCATTATGTTATGTCCCTTGCAGAAACTGTCTAAGCCCTTTGAAAGGAATGCACAAGGCTGGCATTGTGGGGCGGCAGATTAAGGGGCTCTCTGTGACACTGGCATCCCATACTGGAACACCAGTTTGAGTCCTGACTGCCCCACTTCTGATCCAGCTCCCTGCTAATGGATCTGGGACAGCAGTGGAAGATGGCCCAAGTCCTTGGACCCCTGACACTCCTATGGGAGACTCCAACGGAGTTCCTGACTCCTGGTTCAGCCTGCCCCAGCCCCAGCTACGGCAGACATCTGGGGAGTGAACTAGATAAAGGAAGATCTCTCTCTCTTTCTTTCCCTCTCTCCCTTCTTTCTCTCTTTGTCACTTTGCCTTTCAAATAAATAAATATTAATTTTTAAAAAGAATGGTATTAATTATGGTATTTTTAATTTTTTTAAAGATTTATTTATTTATTTGAAAGGCAGAGTTACAAAGAAGCAGAGGTAGAGAGGTAGAGAGAGAGAGAGAGAGAGAGAGAGAGAGGTCTTCCATCCACTGGTTCACTCCCCAGATGGCTGCAACAGCTGAAGCTGTGCCAATCCGAAGCCAGGAGCCAAGAGCATCTTCTGGATCTCCCGTGCAGATGCAGGGGCCCAAGGACTTGGGCCATCTTCCACTGCTTTCCCAGGTGACATCAGAGAGCTGGATCAGAAGTGGATCAGCCAGGACTCTAACCAGCACCCATATGGGATGCTGGCACTGCAGGCTCAGATGTACCCCCTAAGCCACAGCGCGCTGGCCCCTAATTATGATAGCAACTTTGATCATTCTCTTAGCTAGTACAGATTGGCCATATGGTTGTTCGCGTCTAGAACAGTCGGTGTTTCCTTATAACACAGATTACAGGTCCCCACCCGGGCAGCAGTGCCAGCACTCCAGTGGGCACCTCGGGATTTTAGGATTAGTTGAACTGGGGGGACAGTGGGGCTGATTTGTCACTAACGTAGTACCCAGCTGCATGAGTTTTCAGGCCCTAAAGGAATCCATGCACCTCGAAAAGCACATAATTACATAAACCCATCAAGGTGGATCAAATGATCTACTTTGATGTAAAGATTGGTGAATTATGATCCAAGGAAATTTAAGCACAGTTCTGAGATGTGGCATGTGGAACCAGTTCCCATATCATTACTTTTTTTAAAAAAATTTACTTAAAATTAGAGTTTTTAAGAAAATCAGAGTTATAAATAGGAGAGACAGGGAGCTGGATCAGAAGTGGAGCAGCCAGGACAGGAACCATTGCGCATACGGGATGCTGGTACTGTAGGTGGTGGCTTCACCTGCTACACCACAACACTGGCCCATATTTTGTGATTTTCAAGGCAAGCATTCTGTTTGCTGAAAATTAAGGATTTAATGAATAAAAGTTAAACTTTTGTAGTTCTTTAATATTTAAAAATTTTAAAATTTTATTCAAAAGGCAGAGTGACAGAGACAGAGGGACAGAATGACAGATGGAGAGAGAGCTTCAATTTGTCGGTTCATTCCCCAAATGCTCAGAACAGCCAGGGTGGGGCAGGACCAAAACCGGGAGTCCAAAACTCCATCTGGGTCTCCCTTGTTGGTGGCAGGAATCCAAGAACTTGAGACATCATCTGCTGCCTTCTCGGGTGGGCGTTAATAGGAAGCTGGGTTGGAAGCAGAGCAGTCAGGACTTGAACCAGGCACTCAGAAATCTGTTATGGGGTGCGGGTGTCCCAAGCGGAGACTTACCCACCATGCCATATAATTCTTAAAGCATTTGCTCACTTCATCATCTCCAAGATCCAAATGCCCCTAGTGGTCTCAGTACTCACGCTGGTGGAAGCCACGGCTTCCTGGACACTTTCCATAATGAACTCCTTGGTGATCCTGCGAGAGGGCAGCTCGTTGAAGAGGGAGTTGATTAGGGCCACTTTGGCTGCGTCTCGTCTGGCCTCAGCTCTACTTAAGCAACACTTGAGATGGGAAAGAGAACAGGAGTTAGTAGAGGAGCCAGGATCTCGCCATCTCGTCCTGACATCAACAGCCTTGGCACCGAATATCTCGTTCATACATTTGCTGTCAGTACTTATTATTTCCTGCCTGTCGCTCAACTCCCCTAAAGATCACTGACTTTGTCAGCTCCAGAGCCCACTCAAGTGCCACTGTTGGTCTTCAGTTACATATTTGTCTAAGTCGTTGTTTCACAGTCATGGAATTCCCACTGTGTGCCAGAGACTTTGCATCGTATGCTAATAAGCAACCATAGCATTAGGTGTGGCTCCTACTGTGTGCTGGGTAATTTACCCTCGTGCTTAGGATTGTCCTCAAATCTCTGTTTCAGACCAAAAAAATGCGAGGAAAGAATCTAAGTGAGAGTGGAGACACTTGCGACAATGATGAAGCTCACGGGTTCTGGAATCAGACTGCTTGGGCTCAAGTCCCAGTCCTGGCATTTGTGAGCTGTAAGACCTTGGGCAAATTAATCAGTCTCTCTGTTCCTCAGTGTCCTCTCTGTGCAGTGGACATCACAGCAGGGCTGAGGTTAGGAGCAACTCACCAATACGGCTGAATTACTGAGAATATCTGGCTCAAACATGGCAGCTCCTTCACGGACACCTCGGCTTACACATTTCTACTTCTGGCTTAGTTCAAGGGCACTGCTGTCAATGTCTGTGGTTGCTGCTTTTCCAGCCTTTGTACCCCATCTTCCTTCAGGTAACAGTTCCCCGATCGCCTCAAGAACTCCCTTTTCTACCTTGTTCTTAGTCTATATGGTTTGGGTCAAATATGTTCCATCGACTTTTTTGGAATCAGGGACTCTAGGCAGCCCCTGACGAGTAACTTGTGAAAGTGTGGCTCTCCCAAATGTAACATTGCTGTCCATCCTCCTGGCCTGGCTTCCTGTTGGCTCATCTGAGGCTGATCCATACATCCATTCTTTTCTGTCCTCCCTTTTAATCTTTTTTTCTCTTTCTCTTTTCTTCCTTTCTCTCTCCTCTCCCCTCACTGCCTCCCTCCCTCCCTCCCTCCCTGCCTCCCTCCCTCCCTCCCTTCCTATTTATCTCTCTCCTTTCTTTCTTTTAAACTTAATTTTTGGGGCCAGCATTGTGGCATAGCAGGTAAAGCTGCCACCTGTGGTGTCGGCATCCCATAGGGGCATCGGTTTGAGGCCTAGCTGCTACACTTCCAATCCAGCTCTCTGCTATGGCCTAGGAAAGCAGTAGATGGTCCAAGTCCTTGGGCCCCCGCACCCACATGGGAGACCCGGAAGAAGCTCCTGGCTCCTGGCTTCAATGGGCTCAGCTCTGGCCATTGCAGCCATCTGGGGAGTGAAGCAGTGGATGGAAGCCCCCTACCCGGCTCTGCCTCTCTGTGACTCTGCCTTTCAAATAAATAAATAAATCTTTAAAAAAGAGACTTATTTATTTATTTGAAAGGCAGACTGACAGGGAGGGGAGAGAGACAGAGAGAGAGAGAGAGAGAGAGACAATATCTCTCTACTTCCTCAAATACCCACAACAGCTGAGACTAGGACAAGCTGAAGGCAGGAGCCAGCATCTCCACATGGGTCTCCCATATGGATGGCAGGAACTCAAGTAGTTCTGCCTCCCAGGTGAATTAGCGGGAAGTTAGATCAGGAGCAGAGCAACTGGCCGGCGCCACGGCTCACTAGGATAATCCTTGCGGCGCCGGCACACCAGGTTCTAGTCCCCGTCAGGGCGCCGGATTCTGTCCCGGTTGCACCTCTTCCAGGCCAGCTCTCTGCTGTGGCCAGGGAGTGCAGTGGAGGATGGCCCAAGTAGTTGGGCCCTGCACCCCATGGGAGACCAGGAGAAGTACCTGGTTCCAGCCATCGGATCAGCGCGGTGCGCTGGCTGCAGCGCGCCAGCCACGGTGGCCATTGGAGAGTGAACCAACTTCAAAAGGAAGACCTTTCTCTCTGTCTCTCTCTCTCACTGTCCACTCTGCCTGTCAAAAAAAAAAAAAAAGGAGCAGAGCAACTGACACTGGAACTAGCACTCCCACAGGGATGCAGGAGTCCCAAGGGGTTATTTATCCACTGTCTGCCGTCTTGTCTCTTTTCTTAACAACCACCACACTTCGTGTTCTGACTTGGTGTGGACCCTGAGTCCACACAGGGAGGTAGGAAACTGGGCTGTCCCTGGGGTACACAACACCTTCTGGAGAGCACCTGGACTAAATCCTCAACTCCAGGTCTCCTACTGGGAAACCAGTCCCAGGAGGAGAAGCCAGGGCCCAAGTATGGCTAATGAGGTCACCAGGCACACCTGGCTCTGCTACTCGCTGGCCAAAACACTTGGACCACCTGAACCCTGGGAGCTAATGTCCTCACTGGACTAATGCGGAGGGGTGGGGGAAGGGTGGGGCGGAGCTAGGCTCTCCAAGCCCCAAGGCTCCTATGACCTAGAAGGCATGATTGCCAGAGTCAGTACGGCTTGGGGGCTGCAGTGAACCAAGAGGGCCAGCACCAAAGCTCACACTCACTTTGCAGCTTCACAGCTCCAGGGGCTCTGTGCCACTCCCGGGGAGAAGCCCAAGCCCCCTACTCACTTTCAGCACTGGCTCAACGCGGACTCTCTCTGCCTTGTCCTAGGAACACTCTCCGGCCCTCCAAAGGCCTTCCTCTCCTCCCCAGCTCCACAATCTCGGCTTGAGTTCTCTGATCTGGCTCTAAGTCCCCTCCCTCCCCCTGCCCCCACTAGTGATGCTCCCTGCAAACCGCCTTGCAGTGATCCTGTACTTGAGCACCGATCCTTTCTCCCTCACCCCCTCTCCCTTGTACATTTCTTGAGCATCCTGCATAGATCCTGGGCCAGGGGCAGCACTCGGAGGAGCTCAGTGTGTGGATGTACTAACTGCAAGGCTTTTGAAATGGCAAAAACATTAGTATTGAAGAGAATGGAAAACTATATCAAAGCAGAAGAATAAAAGGCAGAAGGAACGATTTTAACTGTGCAACCAAGACTGATTTTCCATGTACCCTTTAAATGAAGGCTGGAACTCAAGTTCTAAAACGTACATGGAAAGTAGTTTGGGATTTCTCTCTTTGGTGTTGAATGACAAAGAAAAAGGCTTTGGGTAGCTTTAGGCATCAAGGCCATTCAAAGTTTGGGTCTCTTCCAAGGCGTATGGGGTCTGAGCAAGTAGGAGGCTTTGTATTATGGACGTGGCTGGGGACTTCAGTGGTCCTTCTGAGAGGCTTTCCCTGATCACTCCCAAGGTCAGGCTGCCGCAGAAGCACTGACCACACTGCAACGGAACTGTTTGCTGGGGCTCTCTATGTGAGCATCCCATCTTAGTTTGTTGAATGAATAACTGAATACAGCCTAGGAAACTAGACAACAAATCACTAAGGCACTGGATAGAATGCTTGGAAAACCCCTTTAAAGACAAGGATGAAAGATACAGATTTCTTTCTCTCTCTTTCTCCCTCCCGCCCTCTTTCCCTCTCTTTCTCTCTCTCTCTTTATTTGAAAGGCAGAGTTACAGACAGAGAGAGGGACAGGTAGAGAGAGAGAAGTCTTCCATCCACTGGTTCATTCCCCAGTGATCACAACGGCCAGAACTGGGCCGATCTGAGGCCAGAATCCAGGAGCTTCTTCAAGGTCTTCCATGCAGTTGCAGAGGCCCAATCACTTGGGCCATCTTCTACTGCCTTCCCAGGCCATAGCAGAGAGCTGGATCGGAAGTGAGGCAGCTGGGACTCAAACTGGCATCTATATGGGATGCTGGCACTGCAAGTGGTGGCTTAACCTACTACACCTTAGCACTGGCCCTAGATACAGACTTTTTATTTTTAAAAAATGTATAAAAACAAAAGGAGTGGGGGCTAGCACTGTGGTGTAGAAGGTTAAGCCGCTGTCCACATGGCCAGCATCCCATATGGGCGCTGGTTTGAGTCCTAGCTGCTCCACTTCTGATCCAGCTCCCTGCTAATGCATCTGGGAAAGCAGTGGAAAATGGCCCAAGTGCTTGGCCCCCTACACCAACATGGGAGACCCAGAAGAAGCTCCTGGCTTCAGATCAGCTCATATCCAGCTGTTGCAGCCATCTGGGGAGTGAACCAGCAGATGGAAGACCTCTCTCTCTCTGTAACTCTTTCACATAAAATAAATACACCTTTTAAAATAAAATGAGTCCCATTTACACACTGAGATGATTTTTTTTTTTTGGACCCGAGTGTGGGATATGTTTGCTTTTCTTCAGAAAGTCAGTTCCCTATTGAAGAGCAGACAAGCGTTTGCAAGTAGCACCTGACAGCTCTAGGTGCAGCTCATTGTAACAGGACATGGCTTTACAAAATCTACACTAGAGCTCTTGGGGGTTTAGAATTTACGGAATTGGGTTCAGATCTAATTGGTGCACTCCTAAGAAACAAATTTCTATCTAAACAATAACAACTTAAACCATCTTTCATAGAGAGAGAGAACTGGTAAACACGACTCAGATAAAAGAAGCTATCTATTTTAAATAAGGCCAGCTAAGTACTAGATCAAAGGCACCCCATACATTTACAGCCAAATGGCACTGTTTCGAAGATCAAAGTGCAGCCCGCTGAGAGGACAGAAAGCCTTTACCCAGAAAGCAGGAAAAAGGGCTAGGGAGACTTAACCAATATCAAGATTTTAAAGCAGACACATGTCTTTACTTATTTTATTGTTTCAATGCACAGAATCCTCGCCTAAAATGGAGGAGAAAGTGTACCAATTAATAAGTACATAAAATAAAACAAATTCTGAGCCATCAAAGGGCTTTCCTTGCTATTATTCTTTGCATTTCTGAAAGACAAGTACTTCAAAATGTCTATAATGTTAACCAGCCGCTTTCTTTTAAATTCTGGGACTACAAATCGAAGCCAGAAATGGCTGCAGAATTTCTCTAGGGCTCTTTGAATGGGATCTCTCGACCCAGAAGAACTTCCTCCTTGGGCAAGAAATTTAGCCAAGAAACC